TTTTCATCGCAATTTATATTAAACAAATTACGATATACTTTTCCTTAATTAGACATAAATAAACATCACTCGTTTAAGGAAATGAAGCAAAATAAATGGCTCATTATATGGATAATTTAGCCTTCTAAGAAAACTAACAAAAAAATAATAATGTTAAAAAGGCTAATGAATTATATTTGTATGAAAGCAATTGTAGAAATTTTAATAAATTTTAGAATTTTTTAAAAAGGATTCACATAACGTTAGTAAAGTCTGAATTAAATTATATCTTAACAATGTTTTCAGATAAATTATTTTGGATGTCAAACTCGTAAAGATCACCATCACTAGGTCAAATGAAGTGTCCTATTGATCTCCTATATAAAAACGTTCAAAAACAGAATCAGTAGATGTTGCATCAACTTCTTTATTATCATCTACATTTTGAATGACGTGCTGACTATACTCAACGTTTTGGTATCTTAACTGTCTTAAATTTATACTAATGATGTCCTGCTACCGCAAATTTATAGTACGTAACTAGGGAGTAAAAACTTGGTCTTGATATGCTAATATTAATGCTAATATTATTGTAGAATTGGTACAAGTAAGACTATAATTAATTCAATAATAAAAAATCAATTAAATTAAATAAAAAAAGTTATTTTGTTGTTGTACTTCGAAACGTCTGTATTAAATACAATAGTTCCTACTAAGTAAAAACTAACGTTATAGTTGACGTTAAAAAGAAATCAAATTTATATCAATATATATTTACTTTAAAATAAATAAATAAAGTAAAATTAAAAATATTTTCAATATGCTAATTTTAAATCATAACCTGAGCATCATCATGCCATTTGGTAACTATTTTTAAAAATAAAATGTATGAGTTTAATAAATAAACTACTTAGGCTGCGTGCAAGCTCGAATATATTGCTGGTAATCTAAGAAAAATGTCGGTAAGGCAGTGAATATTGGTATTTACCAGAATTTCGAATTTACCCTATTCGAAATTAGACAAAAATTTGTTAAATTAGATATTACTATTGTGAAAATTTTATAAGACGTTTTATAAATGAATAAACAAATTTCAATAGTGTTAACCAAAAATACTATATAAATGCAATTAATAAATAAATAAATATTTACATAAGTGCAGTGCTAAAAATTGCTACGAAATTTCAATTCACTTTACCTAAATTTACTTGAACTCGCACATGGCCTTAAATATGCTGTAATGAAATCAATCAAATCAAATTTTTAAAGGATTTGTAAATATTTTAAAAAATAAATAAATGTATTATATTTCAACAATGATTTCATTTTATATTAGCTTAGTTTTTTTTTGCATTTATACAATATATACATATAAGTATATGGACATATATACATATATATATATATTTGTATGTGTATATATATATTTAATGCATAAATGACGTAAATCTCTTATATTTATTTTAAATAATTTACTTTTAATTTTACAAAAGTGCTGAACTCTAATCAAATTTTCTTGTGAAAAAGTGAATAAAGTGAATCTACAAACATCTGTGTCAAAATAAATCTGATAAATTGTTGATATTAAAAGATTAAAAATAAAATATTTAATAGAAAATATTTAATTTTTAACAGTTCGAATTCAGCGCTTTTCCCAACTTCACTTTCTTCCTCTTTCTCTTGCTATATATCGCATGTTGTATTTGTTTTAAAATTGCATTTAAAAATAAATTCAACTAAAAATTTCTACTCCTAAGAAAAATAAATTTCTCAAATTGAAAGAAAACATGATTAATTCAGCTCGTCAGACAAAAGCAATTTAATCAGAAAGTTATTGCAACAATAAAAATACACTCATATACGGAGGAAGTGCGGAAAATAAACTATGTTTTGTATATATATTTCTTTATAAAAACACAATTTTCTTCCTTAAACTAAAACAGAATTGAATTCCTTTTGCCCGACTGTGTGTTTTATTTGCAGTTAAGGAAGAAACAATAAGATTGTTGCTTTATAAAATGAAATTTATTGCCTGACAGTTGCGAGTTTTCAGATTTAATATTGTAGTAAATCGCGGAGAAATATATTTGGATAAGAATTGTTATGCTTTTAGTTTTTTAGTATATGCAGAAATATTTTTCAAAAACTTGAATAGTTTACAAAAAATTAGCTCGAAAAAAAAATTTGATAAATTATCTTTTCCTATCATTTTACTCTTAAACTAATCAAAATAATATTTTTTTATTTTTGTTCTAAAAACATTTTAGCATTTAAGGTTGAAGGTTCTTCCTCATTTCAAAGGAACTACATTTGAAAATGGATTTTCAAATGTATTTTTATTGCTTCAGTATTCTGTTTTTACGACACTGTCCACACGAGTGTGAAAGTGTAAATGAACGAATTTTTTCGACCGTTCAAAATTTATGTATAACCCATATAACCGATATGTTCACACATGGACTTATAGGATTTTACTTTCAACAATTTCACCAACAGGTTTGCTGCTTTGTGGCATATAAATATTTATAAAGTGTTTATTTATAAAATATATTTATTCATAAAATATTCGGTTCCAAATATTCGATTCGAATTAAATTAAGAATTTAAAAAAAAAGAATTTTTTGTTCACGGGTTTAAAATCATTAATAAATAATGGAATGTACAAGTGCAGAAAAGTGACATATGGTATTTTAACATAAGTTTGTTTTCTATTTATATATTAAAGACGTTAAGGAATTAATATTCTTTTATGCAAAAGACATACCACTAAAACTCTTTGAAACTCTTTGACCCTTCAAAACCTATAAACTTAAAAATCATGCGAAAGTACTAGCATTTAGCAAAAGTATTGACCCATAAGAGCGTCAAAATTAGATCCTTTAAGAAAGAAACTATAAAATATAATCGAAAATAAACTGAAGCTTATCTGTTTAAATGAAAGTAAACTAAAATCTGAACTTAATTCTGATGCAATAAAAAAAAGTTTCTTGAATATCCCTCAGTAGTTCTTAATAGCTCAAAAGTTAATTTCTCAAAATTAGACAAAAACATAATGCAACATCAAATGAAGTTGCCTTTAAAATTATTCTACCTTCGCACTTCACAAACTCAATTTGGCTATGAAATACAGAAGTGAAGTGGTTTTGTACGCGGTTGTGAAATGAATTGAGATTCAATCGAATGCAAACGTTGTACTGCCCGCGGAACCGGAAAAGTACAGATTTTGATGGCCTAATTTTATAGCTCTGAACAGTGCACACATTGAACGTATGCGAGCAATGATTTCATAGACCACTAGAAACTCTTTGTGCCCTGAGCCCACATTCATTTGCACAACATGCAATAGGCTTGCAAGCAACATTTTCGAATGGTGGATAAGAAGACAAGATTGAAGCCTTTATGCACTAAAAGGCAAATACTCATAGACGCTGCTAGGTGCGAGTGAATATGTGCGTCACTATTCGTGGAATGCAATGCTTTAACGCGTCTATTGTAGGCAAATAAACGCCTTTATCAAGTTCATACTACCAATAGGTCTTGTTGCAATTTAAGTAATTGTGTGCAACCAATCATAACGAATTACCTGCCACAGTTTCTTATTAGACCAATGCAACGTACACGGTGTGATTGTGTCGATTCTGGCGAAATATTTGCACAAAAAGGCCAAAATTATCGGTTGCGAATATATCAAATGGATTAGGTAGTAATAATAGTGTAATAATAGTTAGCGATTGGGCATATTGGAGGAAGATTTAGTTTCGGTTTAGCCTTGTAATTAACGTACACAGGCAAAATGAAATTGGAATCCAATGAAGTTCGATAGTTAAATTTGAAAAAAATCATACTTATTTAATTTGGTTTTAATAAATATCAGTTAACCTATATACTTATTAATGCTGAAGTCATTGCACAGGCTTTCATGATTTTTAAGGATAACACTTTGTCGTTAGCAATAATATTACCATAATATTAATTAAGGATAATGCTTTCGATTAGTACTTTAATTGCTAATAATGTTAAACACTTAGAAATATAAAGAAAATAATTATTTTAACTTTAGCTGGTTCTGTCGATAATATCATCTTCGCCTATCGTTAGAAATAGTAAGTATTACAGACTTTTTTGATGTAGCTATCAAATTAATCTATCACAGTAAATGTTAGCAATAGGTATCAATCAGATAACAGTTAGTTATGAGTAATCCTATTATACTCTTAGCTGTGGAAAGCAGGTGGGTGCGTTTGACTTGTAAAGGTTCGGCATGACTAACATTATTATATGCTTCAAGTTTTTGTATTACACAGTATTTACATGGATTATAGTATGTATATCGCAGCTTTATTTTCAGAAGTTATGATGAAATTGGCAAGAGATTAACTCAAGCTGCTGATTACGCAAAAATCAACTGTTTTCACAGAAGTATATTAAGTTTCAAAACTATTTAACGACTTCATCACTGAAATAAATTACCTATTGTTTGATTATGGTATAGTTGTAGATGTCCAAGTTTAGATACGCTCACAATGTCAACCTTTCACTCTGACCAGTATTTGTTATATACACTATTTCTTAAAATAATAATAGAATACTATTTTAATCACACACTTCATTTTACACACTGCTTTTAAAATTTTAAATACTTTGTACATGTATCACTAACACAAAAAAATTCTAGCTGGTTCTGATTAATTTATAATATATTGCAACGAATAATTAAAATTGCACTTGCGTATGTACCACATTTTCACAATCCACAATGTTATTCTAAAGCATCTACTTTTTTTATTAAAATCTAAACTTCTTGAAATCAAATCACCTGTTAAAGACAGCGGCTATTATGATGACAGAGGTTGTTGAGTGTACAGTGGCTAAGTTAATCATTTTTCAACAACTGTCTTGACCGCAATATAAAGCACAAAACCCGTACGAATTTGTACAGCGTATAAACATCTGTCTTATGTTGAGCCTTTTCCGAGTTAGTGCACCTGGGCACTTTTACTAAACATCAGTCTATAAATATACACTTATTATTATTTCCAGTAATAAACATACACCAAAAATAAATTTCTTGGACAGCTTTAATAATTTCATTTAGATTACTTCTGCAATAATTTTATTTACATTCAAATGGCAACTAAGTTCACACAAACAGCTGATTTTCGCGATGGCAATTTAAGTAAGTCACTTACCTTAAGTCACTTAAATTTATTCAATTTTAAAGGTTTCCTCTTACCTTAACTCAAACTTTTTAATCTGCTGTTTGCCATTTTTTATATTGATACTTACCATAAATATGGTATATAGATTATAACATAGGGCTTAAGCGCGACTTGGTGAACCCAGGTCACCTTAAGTGATCAAGGCTTAGCTTAGCAACTTAAGCAAATTTTTAATTGTTCTATTGTTGTGATCAATATAAAACGCATGACCAGAATAATATAGCTGTAACCAAAAACATAGAATTTTCTATGTTTTTTCTATAACTACAGCTACAGCTGTTAAATAAGCTGCCAATATTTAAAATATATTGAAAACAAAGGCTCTGAACAAAAAGTGCAGCTGCGACTGTCAACTCAGCAATACACACTTGCGGTAATTCTTGTAGTTTACATTATTGTATATTAAAATTTGATTTAAAGTTCGTTATTAATTATAAAGGCAGTTAATCTATATGTAAAAACGTAAATGTCGGATACATATAATGGTTTTTTAAATAACTTAATTTAATTAACATCTTTTATAATTGTTATTATGTAGTTCAGAAAAAGAGATTAATTTTTTCTTTTGATGTTTATCAAAAGATATGAAAGGCTACGAATAAATAAATCGTACTAGTGTCCAATAAATTAATTATTTACAAAAATAATAACCAAACCAATATATTTGAAAATGTTACAAAATTACAATATAAAAATGAACTAATGAAATAACATAGAAGAATTAATAAATAATTTTTTTTTCATATATTTTAGCATACATTCCTAGCATATATTAAACTTTATATAAGTTAACACATCTACCATATAAGTAGTAATCTAACTTTATTTTTACTTATAATATTATATGGCATTGCACACAACATGTATAAATTTTCATTAATGGTACCTTGTCACTGTTTCATTTGTGCACTTCGCATTTATATTAATGAGTGAGCGTTCACATCATAATAAGCTCATTTATGCAGCTGACAGAACTTTTATTAAATTCACTTAAATATATATCACACAAAAAAAAGATATATGTAATTAATATATTAAATCATTTAATATCCACTTAGGCATTGCATCCATCCAGAAAAGTCATACTTTGCTTTATAATTGTTGACACTCTTTCTTCCAGCCTTTCAGTTAAACGCATTTTGTGAAAGCGCTCGGTAAAAATTGTTAGAAGCTCCAATAGTTCGTGTGAAATGGATCAATTCGAACGGAATTCGTCCTCGCCTGAGTAAGTGGCGGAAGTTTATACCAGTATTTACTGAAGAAATATAATAAAATTATAGTATAGTATACGACCGCCGATGTAAAAATATTTATTTGTAACTTGCATTTCGAAGTTGGATGCATGACGTCATAGTTAACATGGCGTCCGATTTTTAATAAATATCGTGAATGTTTGTAATTTAACTAAGACAAATAAGACGTTAAATTTGTGACAAATTTTAAATATATATGGCTTAAAAATTAATATGTGTTAAATCTGAAATATATTGAGATATGCATATATTTAAAAAAAATTAAGTAAATTATTTGAGTGTGAAGTGTAAATGCAATCGGCATTCATCAATTTGCTAAGATTATGAAATCCAATTGCATTTTTATTGAATCAACATTTATTTATATATCAGGATGTGTTTACGGTTCCGTAACCTATTTGTAAGATATAATATATATATTGTTTATAATATATTAAAAAGTTATATATTTCGTGAATTAATTTAAATTTATAGAAAGTTTAGTCTCGTTGATTTTATCAAGGAAAAGTTAAGTGAATTGATGAATAGTGACACTGATGAAGAAAATCCTAATTCGCCAATTATTTCCATCAAAAAATTTGAAGATATTCACATGTATGTAATCTGTGTAGTTCTTCATTTTTCCTTTTATAAATTATAAGCACCTATTTATACAGCGATCCAAATTTACTAAAAGCGGTGTATGCAGCTGGTTTTAATAGACCTTCAAAAATTCAAGCCAATGCGTTACCACTGTTGCTGGCAGATCCACCATTAAATTTGGTCGCTCAAAGCCAATCAGGAACCGGGAAGACAGCAGCTTTCGTTTTAGCAATGTTAACACGTGTGGACACTGATCTAGATTATCCTCAGGTAATTCTAAGCAACTATATTATTATTAATGGTTTTATTAAAATTATTAAGTTAAAAAACTAAAAAACTATATAAATTTGTTATAGACGCACTTCTTTATTGACATTAACTATTAATTTAATTCAAAATATGATGCTTAGAACCAAAGTGGACTTTTAAAATCGTTTTATTGTTGTTGACAATTAGATAGAGTTATATGTGTTAGAAGTTAGAGTGTGAATTAAATTAAAAGCAATTAGCTGTTCCAAGTACTGCATAATATTTGAACTATCTTGTTGCGATTATAATTTGTGGGAGGTCCATAAAAATATCTCAAGTACATATTTTTTTGCATTATCACACTTTAATTAACATGGACTTTACAGGACAGAGAGAGAGAGAGACAGAGTTTGTAAATTGTCCTTTAACATAAAGAAAATGTCATCACGAATTGTTGTGCACGACTGATTGTATCCCAATATTTTCGGAATCAATATTTCACATGTATAGGACACACTTTTGGAAGCATATAAAAAAAATCACGTAACAATGATATATTATAATTTAAGTTATTTAATTCTAAGGTTATTTGTATGTGCCCAACATATGAGCTGGCAATTCAGACTGGTGAAATATGTGCAAAATTTTCTCAATATATGAACAAAATAAACATGATATTTGCGGTACGTGGAGAGTTCGGTAAGTACATTATTATAATTAATAATTATTAATTAATTATAAAAAGAAAATTTTCATACTATTTAAGAAAAATTCATCTTTTGAATTATTTGATAACACATAATAGTGGAAATGGTTTATGAGTTCATCTTTTCACACATTATTTAATATAATGTTAAGTATAGTCTAATTTTTTTATTAGAATAGTTTTTGTGTGATTTTTCGAGATATACGCCTGTAAAGAAATGTGGTAATATGTCTTAGAGATGCTACAATTATTGGAAGTGTTGTTCGCTCCTGGTAGGAGAAAATATGTTGAAATGTAACATTATTTACTGATTCATCAAGAATTCAATTAAACCACATACATTAAATTAATTATTAGAATTATTGAACTAATGTCAGATTTATATTTATAATAGCGATCGTCATGCATTGAGGCACTTGAACCAATCTGTTATTTGGATTTATTTGAATATCGTGAATAAAAGCAAGTCGACAACAACACATAACAACCCTAAAACAATGATTTTCGTCGTATTAAGGTTTCGTACAGTTCCATGAATGTAAGGAAGCAAAACTATAATATACGATATGCGAAGAGATGTTCATCGACAAGCACTAAGTAATTTTGTGGAGTTGTACTGATGAAATTTTGTGTTTAGTGTTTATGATTTTGTTTTGCTTTTCTAAAAGACTTCCGTGTTCATTGATGAGTATTCTATATATAACTATTGGGCCAATTTACACTATTATGAACGTAACATGAACATGCACTTGAAAACCGGTTACTTATAGGAGAGAGAGGGAAGAGAGTGTGATGTTCATGAATTTCATGCAATGAAATGTGCTGCGTTTCTTCAGCTTAACACGCATACCTTTGCAATGTTATGTTTATGTTCACCTTTTAATACTGAATATCTTCAATTTCTGTGATCTGCACTACTACACACAAACATTTTATACGTTTACACAAAACAAAACAAATTTCACGCTCATGGCAGTGCATGACAGTGTAAACTGAACTGACAGTTCATGTTGTCGTCAAGTTCATCTCACGTTCATGATAGTGTAAATAAGCCCATTAACTATATTATTTTTCAACAATATTTATTATTATTTTTATGGCAAGTGTTTTTCAAGAGTATCCGGTCAGATGATAAACGTAATATTTTCTATTTGATGATTTCTCACTTACGATGGGATATCTGCATATATATAATTATTGTTAGAGGATGTAGCACTGCAACCGTCGGGTCTATTGTGCTCCTTCTGGGTTTAGAGTAGGGCATTCTAACAGCAAATGTGTTGCCGACTCCTCATTCTCTTCATAAAATCTACAGTTTGCATCTGTATGTATACCCAGTCTCGTAAGGTGATATTTTAGTTTACAGTGCCCTGTTAGGATTCTTGTGATGATTCTTTTGATGAGTTATTCTTTTGACAGGTTCATACAATCCTGGTATCTCTTATTGCTATCTGCTTGTATAAAACTGGATCCTTTATGCAATAATATTGTTATTACAACTTGTTCAGTTCTGTTATTTAAAAAACTTTTTGAAGTGATGTATGACAAACTTTAATGAGTGCTGGGCAAATATGAAAATTATTGTGTTGTTAAACAAATCTAATTAGATTTCAGGCGTACACTTGTAATACTATACTAGGGCAGATATTTCATTTAGCACGCACGTCATAGGTTTATCCTTACAGATGTATGCTATCTGTAAATAATTTCTAAGCTATATTCTTTCCATTTTATATTCTGAATAGAAATAATAGTAACAATTAATATAACTTATTTTTTTCCTGTACACTAAAAGTTCTTTACTAAACATGATCAATATTTTCATATCTTATGCTGGCATCCATATTATCATCTTTATATGGATTATAATAATTCGAGACACCCTAAATCAATAAAAAATTTCCTTATAAATAACGAAATTTCTTTTAGTTCCACGTTCAACACAACTTAATCAGCAAATTGTGATTGGCACTCCAGGAAAAGTTATGGATTGGGGCACAAAATACAAATGTTTTGATCTCAAGAAAATACGTGTATTTATATTAGACGAAGCTGATACGATGGTATCAACTCAAGGTCATCGAGGCCATTGCCTCCGTGTTCATAGGTATTAATTATGTGCAGGAAATCCTATACTTACACAATTATAAACAAAATTTTTAGAGAACTTGATCGATCTTGCCAAATGATTTTTTTTTCGGCAACATATGATGAAAAAGTGCTTGACTTTGTAAGCCGCATGGTGTCTAATCCGAAAATTATAAGGTTCATGAAGTAACTAATATTTTTCATATTAAGACAAATACAAATGCTTATAGATTGACACGTGATGAAGAATGTCTCGATAATATCAAACAATATTATGTTATGTGCAGAGGTGAAGAATCAAAATATACAGCAATTCAAAATATTTATGGCGGAATAACAATCGGTCAAGCAATTATTTTTTGTAATGTATGTATAAAATCTTTTTATTTATTATTAAAAATCATCTTTAAATTAAAAAAAAATTGCAGACTCGTCTTAGCGCTTCTTGGCTGGCGAAAAAATTAACTACAGATGGCCACTCTGTTGCCGTCCTCTCAGGCGAATTTGATGTTGGCCAACGTCTTTCTATATTAGATCGCTTTCGAGCAGGGCTTGAAAAAGTCTTGGTAGCTACTAATGTCCTATCGCGAGGTAAGTAATCATTCAATAGTGATATAACAAACATTACAGGTTTAATTTTATAGCAAAATGTAAGCAACAAAATTATTACAAGTGTAGTAAGTAACATATAACTAAGTAACAAATTCGGTCTTACTTTTAAATATAATTATATGTTAATCATTTAATAATAATTAGGGTTCACTTAAGTAATGAAAAGTTTTGAAATTTAGTTTTATCAAATTTAGATGATACTAAATAAATATTTTACAGAAAAAATAATGTAGCCATATAATGATTATCCATGACAGATAAAATAAAAATGCCCACCGGCATACAAAAGATATATCTCCTAAATTGTTGATATATGATCATAAATACTACTTACACATTTCCATCATACGAGAATGGCAAAATATTCTTTTCTACATTCAATGTTTCTTTGTTTTTAGTAAGCATTATAAGCCGATTGCCCTATTTCAACACCAAAATGGATAAGTCTAATATAATTTGATTATACGTTCATTTTATTCATATTTATTTTTACACTTTTATCTTATTTATTTTACTTTATTTTGTTTTATTATATCCTTATTTTCAATTAAATTATATTATTATTCTATTTTATTTTACTATTATTATTTTATTATCATGTTTATACTAATTTGTATTTTATTCTATACTATATATAATGGCATTATTGAGTGTTCCGTTCCTTTTTTTTGCTCTTTTATAATATATAATATATTCTAAACACTTCTCCCTCACACTGTTTTGATTTAATATACTCAATTAAGTATTCCTTGCGGTTAGTTTGAACGTAATCTTCACTGGAAATATAAATTGAAAAACTAAGCTTTAATAGACGGCTCCTTAAGTAAGTAC